AAAATAATATGAAAAATAAATCTTCAATTTTTACTAAATTCGGTCTCGTAATCATTTCCAATCTACGACAAAATGTAATATATGTAAAATTTAAAGGGAACACTACATACTATAATAAACAATATTTTTTTGTAGTATAAAAATTAATTACGGTATTCAGGCCGCTTAGAATTGAATCAAATGAGTATCGAGCACCAAGATCGGTTGTAAAGCACATTTTGTAGAATCCACCTACAAGTTATCTTATATGAACAATGAAATGTTTTTTTTTTTTTTGTAAATATCCTAATATATTCCAAAACGATCTTGATTTTGTATAACATTCTTTTTTATCGAAAAATGCATAAAAAATTATTGTAATATTATATATAAAGATATGATAATACACTAACATCACTATATAATTATAATTAATTGTAATTGCATAAATGTGATTTTTTACAATTATCAATTAAATGCTAATTCCTCACTTTATAAATCCGACAAAACGATGTAACAAAATATCAAATCGTTTATCAATTGTATCCTGATATTTTCTACTACAAAAAAATCCATATATATTAAACACGATCATCACTATTCCAATAACTCTGTAGACAGATTCTCGCTTCAACATCGAAAATATGTCATTCGATACGTACTGAAAAAGTAGCTTATAAATTATTTTCTTTAAATATACGCTTTCTTTGTAATACAATACAATTGCGCAAATATAATCATATATAATATGTGTGTGTATATATATATATATATATACACACATATATATGTATATATATTTATTTATTTATTTATTTATATGCGTCTGTCTCCATGTATGCATAGTCGAAATGTAATATCGAAATCGTAGGGAAAATTTTCTAACATTTCGACCATGTGTATATATTCGCTGTAATAAATATAGATAAAATTGTAATGCCAGCTAATATGGCCTGTGAACACTTGGGTAGTTTGAAATTACGCGATGAGCGGCCAACAAGTCACTCTAAACACTTAGTTTTTACACTTTTTTATCTTTTCTAAGGTATCATGTATCATATACATCGAAATTAATATATATTAGTTTTCAGTAATATATAAATATTTATGTAACAAATAGATATTTAAATAAATTGCGATATATGTCACACTAAATAACGTGTAAACACGAACATTAAGATACGAAACATGTTCTGATAATAGTGGAAAGTTAACATTTTGCAGTAACATTGTTACCATGGTAACTTGTTTTTGTGTTAAATTTTTTTATTAATTATATCAAACTAAAATAAAAGTTTGTTTCCCTTTCTGCTAAGGCATTCAATTAAAAAAAAAAAAAGGTTAAATTAAATTTCTTATAATAAACAAACAAATAGTTTTACAAATATTATTTGTATGTTTAAAGTTTGGAATATAAATTGCAAACTTTCGTGAACTCGCATTTCTTTAGGAACTTTCAATTGTACAAATGCAATTCCGTTGCAATATTACATAAACTTTTGTCTAGGACTATCGTGCAGATGTTTTATTGTTTACATTATTGCCATGGAAACGTTATTACTGCTGAAAATATTTTTTAAATGAACAACCGGATATGGAATTTTGAGCGGCGGAGCGGTTGTGGCAGCTGTAAGTCTTCGTTATTTAAATCTATTTGTCTTTTATCTATTCTTTCTTTCTCTGATTTTTTCTTTTTTTTTTTTTTGAATTAATTACACTTAAGCATGTGTACACTGCAATATTATTATAAGCGCCGTGTACGGATTTTTAAATATACAAGTAAATTACAGGATGGTTGAACTTGTGAAATAACAATATAATTTATGAATCTCTAAAAGTGCTGAAATTTTTCAGTCTGTCGCACTTAATTTAAATGATGTTTGTGTGTATTCTCTTTTTCTATATATATATATA